AATGCTATGTCTAGAGTATGTTGCATGCTACATGGGATTCAAAGAGGAATGATCACTTCCAGTTGGAATCATCAAAGAGAACTTTATTAGAGAGATAGAAGCATGAGTGTTGAAGAGAAGGAGGTGTTTCAGTGGGTGGAGTTAGTGGAGAGGAGATCTCAGTGGGGTGAAGGGAGCAGGGGAGATGGAAAGGAAGAATGTGAACAAAAGCAAAAAACTCAAAAAAGGCCGAGTATTTGAGAGGAACAATAAATAGGTAATAGAGATCATGTGGTGAGATTAATGATAGACACCCTGGGAAAACCAGGTTAGGCTAAATTTTAGAGAAACTCGAATCTAAATTATAGAACTTTGTACTGTATACTGTTAAATGAAATGTAATGACCCGTTGAGAGTGATTTTTAAGGAAACCTTGACAGAAATCTGCAGGCAATAGAGTCTGAACTGAGATAGGAGAAGTTGTAATGAAGTAGAAGTAAAAGGTGTGTTATTTTTTTTCAAAGGAGGGCCTGATCAGAGCAAGGTTGTCTGTGGAGGTGTGAGGAATAGACGAAGAAGTTGAAGAAGACTGTGGTTTTGAATTAGGGTCGCTGGGAGAATGGGAGTGTAATGAAAAAATGAGGAAAAGGAGTCTTACAGATAAAGGGTGAATACAAGTTTGGATATATTGCATTTGAAATGATAATAAGACTTCCAGGTGAAGTTATCCAATGGATTTCTGGATATATGATACTGAATAAAAGTGATGACTGGAAACACTTGGAGTAGATGAGATTCCCAAAGGATGAAATATGAGGACAGAGGAGTATAATGTCAAGGACAGAAATTTGATGTCCATAGTTAGGGAATGGGAATAACAGAGAAACTGCCGGAGATGGACTGTCAACAGTGGGGCCTTCTGGAAGGGGGGAGTGTAGACCTCCTCGCCTTTTTCCCAGGACTTACTTGTTCCCAAACTTAGGGAGAAAGAATTCAGTCTTTCATCATTAAGTATGATGTTAGCTGCAGGTTTTTTACAGATGCCCTTTTTAAGGTTGAGGACATACCCTTCTATTGCTAGTTTGCTGAGAGATTTTGCTGTGAATGAATGAATGTTTCAAATGGTTTTTCTGCATTTATTGAGATGATAAAATTATTTTTCTTTTTCAGATTTTTGATGTGATAAATTTCATGGATAGATTTTCTAATGTTGAACCGACTCTGCATGGTCACGATATATTATCTTTTTTGTAATCACTGGGTTCTATTTGCTATTTTTTTTTTTTTTTAAAGATTTTTTTTTATTATTTTTATTTTTCCCAAAGCCCCAGTGGATAGTTGTTTGTCGTAGCTGCACATCCTTCTAGTTGTTGTATGTGGGACTCGGCCTCAGGATGAACGGAGAAGTGGTGCCTCGATGCGCACCCGGGATCCGAACCCGGGCCACCAGCATCACAGCGCGCGCACTTAACCACCAAGCCACAGGGCCGGCCCTCTATTTGCTATTTTTAAGAAAAGTTGCATCTAGGCACATAAAAGGTATTGATCTGTAAGTTTTTTTGGTAATGTTTTTGATTTTGGTATCAGGGTAATGCTGGCATCAAAAAATGAGTTGGGAAGTGCTCCCTGATCTTTTATCTTCTGGAAGAGTTTGTGAAGAATTGATATTACCTCTTCTTTAAATATTTGGTAAAATTCCAAGTGAAAGCACCTTAGCTTAGAATTTTCTTTGTAGGAAGGTTTTTACTCATGGGTAGATTATAGGGCTATTCAGAGTATCTGTTTTCCTGAATAACTTGTGCTGGTTTGTGTTTTTCAAGGACTTTTCTTGTTTCTCAGCTCAATTATCCAAGTTTTTTACATCAAGGTGTGATGATATTGTTAATCTTTCAGTGTCTGTAGGATCTATTATAGTTCTCTTCCACTTCATTTATATCTGTTTTCTACTTGTCCTATCTGCTCTGTTTTATATTTTTCTTTTTCTCCTTTCTTTTAGCTTGAGTATTTTTTATGATTTCATAAAGTAGGTGTTATTTAGGATAGAAAGAAGGCAAGATGTGAGCTCTCATGTATCATAACTGAAATTCTCCTAATAAAGTGAGATGTATGACCAGAAGGTGAGGGTGGGGAAATGTTGGCATCTTGTATGGGTAAGGTTTAGAATATTTGTCTTGGGAGGTCACCTGAGAAAATGGCAAGAGATTAACAAGTGGATTTCCAAGTATTAATAAGGGCCCAACTGAAGTAAACATGTAACTAACAATACTATTTGGATAGCTAAGGTATACTATGATCAAATCTGAAGATAATAACTCAAAATACGCCCTAAAATTGGAAAAAGTGAAAAAAATTGTAATGGAATCAAGTGGCAATCAGGATATTTCACATTTCAATTTTAATTTTAATAAAATCCATTCATGTTTTCCCTCAATAAGGTTGAAGATATCAGCTTCTTTTAGATGATCACATTTTTCCAGAACTTGGACGTAATTGGCAGCCATCTTTTCTAAATATTGAACACTCAGAGGTTTTCACAGGACAGATGAGCTTACGGGATTTTCAATAAGACCTGAGTGAAGTTTCTCCCATTTTCTCATAGCTAAGTTATCCGAAACGCTGGAAGAAGGTGGCATAGCTGGAAGGAATTGTATTGGTGAATGAAAATAGAACAAATGGAAAATTGGCAAGCCAGCTGGAGATTTTGTGGGACTAATGGTTTTGGAAACATATTTGTGAGACTAGGATAATTATTCTACTCTTTGAACTGATTACATTTTGTATTGTATTCTTTTTGTTTACAAAAACTGTGATTGCTTGAATCCTATAAGGAAATGTGAGCTCAGTGTAAAAGCATGCTTAGTTTGTCTAAATCCCTCGTTGCCCATAGGCATTGTTATTTCATTAGCATATTGAAAATCTATGTGATCAAAAGAACAAGATCATAGGAATATTTCATTTAAATTGTTTTCACAGTTACAGCAGGTTCTCAGAATAAATTTTTTGACAAACCTCAACTTTAGAAGTAGAAAAAGTAACATTTTATGTTAAACAACAAAAAAACTCTTGATATAGATATTTTCTGTAGGCAGAAAAATATAAATTAATCTATACTTTTCCAGCAGTGGCCACTACGGTGTAGAACAGTGAAGAAGGATACAGACTCGAGTCAGATTGTCTGGGTGTGACTACTGGCTTTACTACTTACCAGCTGTGTGATCCTGGGCAAGATGCTTAACTACTCTGTGTGCTTCATTGTCTTCATCTATGATATAGGAAAATAATTTTATCTTATAGATTTGATATGAAGCTTAAATGAGTTACATGTACATGTATTAACACATGTGTAATACATGCTTAAACTGGGCCTGGTGCATAGTAGGTACTCAATAAGTTGCAGTTGCGAGTGAAAAAAAGGATAGTTAGGCTATGTGCATCGCCAATAATGTGGAGTTTGAACAATATCTAGATCTGGTACCCTGGATGTCAGATTTACACACACTTGATAACTACCTTAAAAAAGTACTAGGAATAAAAATGCCAAATGCCATCCATTTGAGTGTGACATTTACAGACAATTTAAGGTTTTTCCCTATATACTGTATTTTCTTTGCCAAGGATAGCAATCATTTTTTCAAATGTAATTTTAATGTTAGTAAAAAGAATTATGTTTCAGCATGTATATTCTAAACTTTTTGTGATTTTTTAAAAATAAAATATCATTATGTACTGAAAAACCAGCTTAATTAAGGCAAATTCTGTGTCTTCTATAAGTGATGAAAATTAACACCATGAGTTTTATAACTCTCAACATGGCAAGCTAATGGTAAAAAGCATAGGGAAATAATTTGGTTAAAAACAAACTATATTGCAAAAGAGGGAAAGAAATTAGCATTGAATGGGCACTAACCATAGTAGGCAGTTTTTTCCTCCCAGCTGCTGTTTCATATTTATCTTTCAAAATCCATAAAATAGATGTATATTATCCCCATTTTACTAATGTTAGAATGAAAGTTCACAGGGTTTGACCTCAATAATTCTTCAAGGCTATTTATGTGTAGGGCTGGGAATCAGGTCCTGGCCATTTGATTTCAAAGCCTATGCCCTTGTCACTGCATCTGTCTGCCTCCCAGAAGTGATCTGTATGCCACTGAACAAGTTTAGTACAGAAATTATAGCTGATCCATAAAAACAAAACTTCCTCAGTTTTTCTTTTTTTTTTATAATTTTATTTATTTATTTTTCCCCCCAAAGCCCCAGTAGATAGTTGTACGTCATAGCTGCACATCCTTCTAATTGCTGTACGTGGGACACAACCTCATCATGGCCGGAGAAGCGGTGCGTCGGTGTTCGCCCGGGATCCGAACCCGGGCCGCCAGCAGCGGAGCGCGTGCTCTTAACCGCTAAGCCACGGGGCGGCCCCTCCCCAGTTTTTCAATGTCTTCTAATTCAACTAGTTTCCTTACTTTCCATATTTTTCCATTGCATTTCATTTTAATAAGCATATGCCATTAAAGCACATACTAAACCAACCTATAACCTCAGGGTGGGGCTCTCTGCGTTTTGGAGTCAAGGGAAGCTCCTCCTGGTGTAATAGCGGAAAATGTGCCGACCTTGGGGTTGGTTCTGACTTTGTCACAAACCAGTTATTTCACTTTGGGGCAGGCCATTTCAGAGTGTTGCAGTTCCTTTTCTCATTTGTATAATGAAGGAAAAGTCCTCAGTGATCTCGAATGTTTGTTCATTCCATCTCTTTTGATGCTCTACAGTATTGTAAACTCTCACTACATTTTCCTGGAGGGCCAGAAGTTTAAATATGGACCAGTTTCCTAGAGAACTCATTACTTAGTGGGGATACTCCAGCTCCTTGAAAATTCCCAGGACTTCAAAAATGACTACAGAGACAGGATTTTGTAATAAGCAAACCCAGAATCAATTTTTTAAGGTCCTATAAATGCTCCATCTAAATTCTTTTCACTCTGACTTTAGGATATCCTGATTTTTCTTTTCCATATTTCCCACAGGATTATTTTACAAATGCAAACAGAGAGTTGAAAAAAGACTCTCAGCAAGATTACCACCTAGAATATGCCATGGAAAATAGTACACACACAGTCATTGAATTTACCAGAGAGCTGCACACGTGTGACGAGAACGACAGGACTCTAACGGTAGGGAGCCTGCGAGGGAGTGCGTGCACCAACAAATTATACGTTTACGGTTGTGAGACACTTTCCAGGGTAAAAGGAACAAATATTTAAAAATAACCTTTGACAACAAAGTCACATAGTCTGTTTTGGAATTGTTTTGAATTCTTTTTAGAAGCCACAAGAAAATCTAAGACTATAAATTTCAATAAAGGCAATTTTTGTGTGAATCTAAAGTTTTGAAGAGCTGTTTAAAGTGTGTATGATTTTATCTATAAATCATTTCCAGCTTCTTCTCTATAAAGTTTGAAAATAGACAATAGATAAAGGTTGAAAGAAAGGTATTACACAAGAGGGAATTACGATACTGAATATTAGGATATAATTCATCTGATTTGGAACTGATTCATTTTTGTAAATTTCTAAAATCAAGATGAATAGTAGACTGATTAAAATTGCCTATCGACATGTTATACAAGATTTCTTATTGTCAGACTTCATGCAAAAATTAATATCTTTATGCATATGCAAATTAAATATTTAGAAGGTATATAATTCACGTGGTACTTTGGAAGTTTGCATGTATTTCTTGGATCAATTTCATTTTGTATAGAACAATAAAATTATCTTTTTTATTTGGTAACTCAAAGCTTTAAAATCGGGAGTGTGAAAATCTGAAGCAGTTTTGATTAACATTCAGCATAAAGAGTAAAAGAGAAAGAAAAAAACACATGCAAAGACATGAATCACTTTTTATGTCATATACGGGGCAAATATACTTTTATGGAATAATAATTATAGTAATTTGACTTATTAAGAGAGAATATAGCTTTTAAAATAAATAGCTCTGGCTTTATTATTTATTTTCACAGTTCTTGTTACAAAGATCTGGCAAAGACACCTTTATCTGCGGGAAGACTGAACAATTTCTTTATACCCCAGCAAACCACCCCATCCTCCACGCCCCCTTTGGGCAATCTCTTTTGGTTGCTCAATGGAAACCAATTTCACCTGACAGTACTAGGATACCCCAGTTCTTTAGAAATTCCCAGGATTCATAAAATGACTATAGATAGAGTTTAGGATAATAAACAAACCCAGAATCAGACATTTCTCCTATATTTGCACTTTCTGTGAATTCATACATGTGACTGGGCTCGCACCTGTGAAAAATGTTTTGTGAAAGTAAAAGTCCTGACCTGGAACTTAATTTTAAAATTAGAATTTATTTATTTATTTTCTAAAGATAGAATTATTTATTTATTTTCCCTAAAATGTTCTATGATGTTAAAACAGGTTTTAATTTTCCAGAATCCCTGCTGCTTAACAAGAGTTTGTGCTTGGTAACTTGTAGCTGCTGGTTTGGAGTTTTAGCATGGCGATGATTTACTGCTGCCGTGGGTGTGAAGGCGTAACCACTAAGTCGCTTGTCCTTCGCTCTATTTTTGGAACACATGATCTTGAGTGCTGAGAGAGATGATTTCTTCCAAAAAGGAACCCGTCTATTTGGATACTTAATGACTTAATCAGATTCACACAATTAATGTTAGAGACCGTATTCAGAACTCCAAATGTCATTGTTCTCCTTTCTTCACTTCTTTATCCTGCTTTAAATAGAGTTCTTTACACTCAGCTCAGTGGTAAGGAAAGCGCTCTCCTGAGACATAATCGTGCCCATGTCTGGTCACCAGGAGAGCACCATGAGGGTGATCTGGGCCTACCACCACGAAGACGTGGGAGAAGCTGGTCCCAAGTACCACGACTCCAACCGTGGCACCAAGAGTCTGCGGTTATTGAATCCTGAGAAACCCGATGTGTTGTCTGCAACCACTCCATACTTTGACCTGGTAAACCAGGACGTGAGTGTTTTCAGGTTTTATTATTGTGGAGGTGGGCTAATTGGAAGTGTGTAAGAGTTTTTACTTAGATTATTGTATATAATAGCATATCAACAGCATATGACTTTGTGTTCTCCTCCCCTTTTTATTAAGACAGGTCCCCATCCCAAACAAAGGTACGACATATTGGTGCCAAATGTTTAAGATTCCTGTGTTCCAGGAAAAGCATCACGTCGTAAAGGTATGTGTCTCACTCACAAACTAAACTTAGTTTTAACTGAGGAGAAATTGTTGTTCTTAAAATGAAAATGATAAAAAAAAGCATCAAAATGATTTTAAATTATATGAAAGTTATTTAAAGAACAAAGAACTGGCTTATCTGACTCACTCCGTCTTAAGAGTCACGGAATTTAGAGAGAAACTTTGGATTGGAGCTAGTATTTTGGGTTTTGTCTCCTAATTTTACATGTTAAAGGTAAACATTTGGGGATGCATTTCAACACCCTTAGTTATTTCTTAGGCAACGCTTGTACAATTGAAATTGCTATAATTTATAATTAAAAAAATAATATATTTACATGTTGATAAATTATACCCAGGAAGGTTGCATTCCCCACCAATTTTGTTTGAGAATATCTGCTTCATTGAAAATACTGGATATTGTCATAAAAATATTTGTTACAGTATTTTTTTGAAAATAGGAAACCAAGAAAATTAGTGAGGGGCCGTCCTGGTGGCACAGTGGTTAAGTGCGAGCACTCTGCTGTGGTGGCCTCGGGTTCGGATCCCTGGCGAACACCAACCCACCACTAGTCAAGCCATGCTGTGGTGGCGTCCCATATAAAGCGGAGGAAGATGGGCACAGATGTTAGCCCAGGGCCAGTCTTCCTCACCAAAAAGAGGAGGATTGGCGACAAATGTTAGCTCAGGGCTGATCTTCCTCACAAAAAGAAAAAAAAAAGAAAGAAAATTAGTGAATTTCTACAGAAATAAAAAATACGGAATTGGGTAATAAATAAGCCCAATTTGCTTGACATAATTTCCTCCCACTCCCCTGGGGATAGGTCTCTCAAAACTTTTGCATTGAGTTAGTGAATGAACGAGTATTTTAAAAAACTTACAGGTTCTTGGCTCTGGGCTAGGAATTGTCTGGCACTTCCACAGAGGCCGAAAGGGTGATCAATGCTTGCATAGAACCTGCAGTGGGATTGTAGGTGACATGACCAAGACACAAGAAAGAGTACGATAGAATTAAATAGTGCGAATGAAATACTGTGAACATCCAGAAGGCCAGAGTTTGCCGACTTTTTGTCAGCCTCCAGACTGTGTAATGAAGCAGTGTGGATATGAGAAATGAGAGAACTTCTAGATTCTGGAATCTAGAGGGAAATATGTGGGTTCGAATCGCAGGTCGACTCTTTAATTAACTCTGCACTCTCAGGTAGGTTGCTCTGGGGTAACGCTGTAAAAGGTGGGCAGTAATAACACTTTCCCTACCGACCTCAAAGCATTTTGGCAGAGATGGAAACACTGAATACATTCTATAAAATGCCTTAAATTTGTTAATTTCTAGTATATTTCTCCAGTAGCACAGATCTGCCTTTTGTTTACAGAATGATTGGTAGCTACTTAGAGGGGCAAGAGGAGCAGGTTGAGTGAATGTTGATTGAGTTCATAAGTAGTCCTAAATATTTGTGGAATATTTTTGCAGTCAGAAGACTTACCCACAACATGGCCCGGGGTGACTCACTTACCTCTGTACAATGTTATTTTCTATTTCTTGCATATGAAAGGGGAATGCAAATTCTAGTCTTACATGCTTAATTCAGTGCCTAAGTCCTTCCCTTACACCAATGAAAAGACTTTCTCAGCAAAAAGAATGTTCTATTTATGTATACTGTGTGGCATATATTACTGTGTGTCATTTGCAATAAGTTTAATTGGAACCTAGGTTAAGGGACAAATGTAAAACTATAGGTTCGGAAAGGAAAACAGATGTTTCACAAAATAGTTCCTTGATTTGTTTTTCAGCAATCGTTAATTGCTAGGATGTGAAGTCCTTAACCACTTACATTAATGCATTTTTATTCTTGTTATTATTAATGCTACTAATTCAGTTGAATGAAATAAAGACAATTGTCAACACTTAAAGGAGGGCAGTTTATGTTCTGACCCTCTGTTTAGGACATTTGCTTGGTACCTCCGCTAAGAATTCTTAGCCAGCTTTCCCATCACAAGCACATCATAGTAATACTCAGGTATGGGAGCATCTATTATCCAAGGGTGTGCTTAGAAGTAAGTACCTTTGGGTTCACATTGCTCACTTCACTAGGTATCAAGAGGGATCTCAATGACTTGAAAGGCTTTGGGACATTTTTTGCAATGATTGGAGGTCTATAGAAGGAGGAAAGTTCTTTACGCTGAGCGAGTGGGGATTCGAGGGAGGGGCTGCAGGTCAGAGAGAGGTGCCTGTACAAGCTTTTCTTGTTGTGGGGGCAGAGCATTGGTGGCTAGAATTTAAAATTCTATTATTGTTTAAGAATGCCACTTATAGGATAGATTCCTGAGCTTGTTGCTAAACCCCAAGATATTTTAAAGTTCATTAAGTATTATGAAACATTTAACTCAAAAGTGAACTCAACTAGGATAATGTAAAATGAAAACAAAAAGAAAGCTCTACTGGGAAAATAAATTCAAAATATTTAGGTTGTATACGTTTTGAGACTGTCTTTCAAAAACAGTTTTAATTTGCAGTTTATGCTGGTTTACAATAAAATTTTAATAAATTTCTGAAGTAGAATTCATAGATCTAGAACTTACCTCAAGAAATTGTCTAATTTCCATTCTCTTTTCTAATTTAATTAGATGATTAATTATCTATCTAGATAAAATCATCTAAATTAATTAGATGATTTCTAATAATTTAAGAAAAGTGTATCTTCTTTTCTTAGAATCAAAGACTGTTGAAAAGCCATCAGCTACGTGCTTCTCTTTATTCCTTATTTTATGTCCCACAAATCACTATATGAAAAAGCCTCAGTCCTTCTCTGATACAGACAAAAAGCACTTTCTCAGAAAAAAGAATATAGCTTTTATATTATGTGCTGTGTCATTTGCAGTGAGTTTTAAGAACATATTGATTACAGTAGTTTTGTGAGAAATCAATTTCGTTGTCTGGTCTCTATTTCAAACAAAGAAAAAGGTTGTAATTGTAGTTTAAACATTGATAGTACTGCCCAACATACGTGTAGTAGTTGTTATCTAGTTGTTACTGAGCAGATAAATAAAATATATCAGTGTGCTGATCATGAATATATTTAATGGGAATGACTGAAATTCAAAATATTAATTACACTTTCAATTTAAATTTTAATCACGTAATAAAAAATTATTTATTACTGAAAGTTTGAAATAATAAGGTAAATAATTTCTAAAATTATAAAATGATGAAGATAATTTCGTCTGCAGGAAAGATGGAATTAGTGGTGGTTCCAATTCACTTGTGATTCTATTTTATTGATTTGTATTTTGATTCTTGCAAAATATGCTTAAAATTATGACTTGGAAATGTTTGTATAGTCAGATGATGGATATGCAGATTGTACAAAAGAAAATTCTTGGTAATTTGTATTAAAACCATACTTCTCGTATGAGATCATCTCTGTCTCTCTCTTGAGACCCACTATCTAGCCCATCTGTCCATATTTAAGCATGACCCTATTTAAGCTTTGCCAAATATGTGACTTGACCCTAAGCTGAAAATTTTTTAGAGCAAGTGATTCTCTCTACTCTCTTTAATCAATAGTTAATGTCATTATCACAACATAGAGTAATGATTGGATATACTCTGCTGGAAGCTGGGGTTATCAATTAGTTTTATCACACTGCTTTTTTTTGAGGAGCTTTTATTGTCAGAAAATTCTTCTCGTAGATAAACAAAACTCCTAATTCATCTGTTTAAATGTGATGTGTCTTAGTCAATTTAATAAATAGTTGGGGATGGCCTATTGTGTTAAGTGGGAAAAAAGAAACACAGGCAGGTTGAATCATCACCCTTGGTCTTCTCCTCTTAAAGGACCAGCTTCCTCACAGGGAGGCAGTGAGCCTTGTGGCCTGGTAGGTGGGTTCTGGGCTTTGATGGGCCAGATTTGAATCCTTTCTTTCCATTATTAGTCCTTTAACCGTGAGAAAGTAATTAGTCACCCACAGCTCAGTTTTATCATTTAAATGGGAATGGTGCCTTCCTTATGGGATTGTTTAGACTGAAGATTAAATAGCAGTGTTTTTTTTTTTTTTTCAAATATCTTTAGCACTTAGCACAGTATCTGACACAGAAAACTCTTAATAAACCCAGCTATTATGATCAGGCCATTTTCTTTCAATGTTGCTCTCTGGATGAATTTTCACTGAAAACTACCATGTGGTGAGGAGGCCCAGGAAGGGATGGCATCATGCTCAAGTTTGACAATTGCTGAGTTTTAAGAGGGGATTACTTTTACTAGTTGTGTGGTTTTGGGAAAATTATTTACTGTCCTGTGCCTCGGTCTCTTCATCTGGAAAATGGGCATGATAGTTCTCACCTAATAGGGTTATTATGACTATTAAGTGAGTCAAAGGAGTTTAATATTTGTAAAGTATTTAGAACAGTGCCTGGCACATGGCGTTGTTAAATAAAGTAACTAAAAATTGTGTAGATCACTAGCACAATATACAGTTGCTAATCTGTTGATCATCTTGTTAGGTTTCTGGGTTGCTGAGGGATCCCAAACCAGCCAACCCTTTCTAGACAGTGAGAATTTCAAATAAGACCTAGATTGTCACTCGTTTCATTTCGGGAGGCCACCTTGAGAACTGTGTGCTTTGGAGAAATGTGCAGTTGAGGTGAACGGAAGAGCGTCATCATTCTCTCTTCATCAGTAGACACAGGAAGGAAAGTGCTGTACTTTATGTTAACTACTGAAGGGAACATCTTTCTTGGAATGAAATTAGATGCTACTGTTCTTTTTTGTTGGTGGCATTCATAAATCTGAACAATTTAATTTGGGGAATGTTTCCTAGGACAAGAAAATCTAAGTGTAATTGACATTGAATAACTGTGACGTGACCTTGAAGCCAGAAGACTGTAGAGCCGTGAAATAGTCATTCAAAAATTGGTTTTCCTCTACCGTTCATGTAGCATGAACATTTGACTTTATATGCTCTGTTAAATGGACAGTGTTGACTAATTTCCTTGTTGTGTTT